GACCCCCCCCCCCCCCACACACACACACCAAATGATAATAACATTATAAAAAAGGCCATTTAGAGAGGGAGATTAGGGAAAAATGGATTGAAGTAAGCCTCCAACTTCTTAACTCCCCTTTGAAATAAATAAATAAATAAGTAAATAGATAAATAAATAAATAAACTACTTATATATGACTGGGAGTCCTGTTGGGGTAATTTATAGAGTGTGTTGAAGGTGTTAATTTATAATTTTTTGTTTGATGACAAAGGATTCCTAGAGGAGCAAAAAAATTCTCACTTTGTATAGATCATTTATGCATAGATACACACAGCAATAATTCGATATAGAGAAGCAACTTAATTGTGGGATATATTTCCGACTGGATGTGCAGGTAATATATCTTTGTTGCAAAGCTTGCATTTTTCATGACTGTCATTAGCCAGGGTGCTATAAATCTACAGTGCAGCTGTGGAATTAAACAAGCTGTTCATTATACAGCATGGAAGTGAAGAGAGCTTTACACAGGTGTTTGCTAGATACATGTATATTGTTCTAAAAGCACATATGTGAAGTATTTTTGTTTTAAGTAAATATGTTCTGAGAACAGTCAAAAACTTTACCTTGTACCATGATTACATTTCTCATTCTTATTAAAATATACTAGAAAGCTTTACAAATAGCTGTGTACATGTATGTTCAAATGTTAAGCCCGTTATTTTCACAGGTTGATGTTTGGCACCACCCAGCTGTATTTGTTTGTGAACCCCAAGGAGAGAGATGCTGCCAAGACTCCGTACCCAGAAATCACATTTGAGATGGCACAGGATGAAATAGCCGCCTGCTCTGGCTTTGACATGAATACAGAGAATAAGTCTCAAGGTATGTTGGCTAATCTGTCCTCTCTACAACCATTGATATAAATGTTGTCCAGAAATACTCACTGTACATGCAGTACACAAATATGTGCACTGTGCATAGTATCTGGCCCCAATTTTAGAAAAAAAAAAGCCAGGTTCCCAGGTTAAAAACTTAATTACCCAAGTTAATTGGTCACATGTGCACACCTTTCCCTATCAGAAACAGCGTTACCTATAAAATTTACCTATAAAACTGAATTTATTAATTCATCAGTAATGTATTAATTGGTAAGTATCACATTTTAACAACATCAGCATGGCAAGTCACTATAGTGAGGATGACAGTTGTATATCTACAGTAGGCACAAACACTGGAATAATAACAACTTCCACCATACAGTTACAAGGGGTTTATATGTATTTTTTGCCTTATGTTTGGTTTTAACTCAGACAGAAATTGTTGCATGGTTTTTATTAAGCTTTTCAGGATAACTACATGAAGGTCAGAAATGATCTAACAAAAATTGATTTGATTTTGGTGGTTATCAATTAATTGATTAATGAGAAATGAGCTGCTTGGCATAGGTCTGCACTCTGTGTTTTTTTAGTTATCAATTATATATTAGACTAGAAATGTATGTCAAAATTCTTCATCTTGTTTTAACTGTCACTTACTTAATCTACAGTTTGGTAAGCATCATCCATGATCTTAGTTGTACAAACCCTTCAGATACACTCTATGTATTAATTGAATATCACTAGGTTCAAGGACACTCGTTATTGCCAGTTGCTATGGTAACAGATAAACATACATATTTTGCTGTCATGTAAAGAATGTGTGGTTTAATCACTTAATTGTGGTTCTAAAACATCCTTGTCTCTGGAGTAATGGACACTTCAGTCATATGTCACTGTCAGGGTTACCTCCAGTGGCTGATGTTGTCTCATTTCTGTGGATTTTGGTAGGTATACACAGTAGGAACAGGAACATTTGGGAAAGTGGAGGCACTTTTATTTATAAGTATGTCAGGAAAAATGGAGAATTAAGAGAAAATATTTTTTCTCAGCTTATATGATATATTGTCATTAGGTATGGAAAATAAATTACTAAAGAATATGACATTAATTTTCTTCCCTCAGATGTCATAGCCTGCAGGGTAGAAAAAAGAACACAGGGAAATTAACCATGAATAAAACAAACTGCATGTAGTCAGATGTGTATTGTTTTCTCTGTTAGATGACCTCCTGCTGCAGGAGGACCTGGCAGACATGATCCCAGCTGTGGAAGAGGCCAACTCTATCAGCCAGGAGTTGGACAAGAAGCTCAAGTTTGAGATCATCATTGTCAGTTCAGAGGCCAGAGGAGAACTGTCTGGAAGAACCGAGGTAAGTATTTTAATAATTTTACATAAAAATATATCAAATACATTGAACTTTTATTTAAGGGGGGGGGGGGGTCTTTCAGGGTACAGTAATTACTGTATGTACTAGGAACTCTGCAAATTTGATTATTTGTCTTTGCTTGGCATAAAGTAAAGTGGATTGTTAGTCTGGAGTATAAATTGATGAAAACTATATGTGATGAAGTGCGAAACATAAACATTAACATTAATTCAGCTTATCAGTTGAATGAACTTTTGTTTTTACTTCATGGCGATTTTTTTCAATATATATTTATTTATTTTCATTATGATTGTACATAAATTCGGTTCAGTTTTATCAGTGATCTATCTTCTGGTCAGAGGAAGTAATCAGCCAAGAGGCTGTTAGCAAGCGTGACCTTAGGTGCATTGTGTTTTGTCACACCTAACACACTGGGAGGGTGAACACACTATCAATATTCATCTTTATTGTTCCAGGTGATGGTGAGAGTCAGCAACCTGGAGACAGGCTATGAGTGGGTGTGGGTTAAGAATAAGTTCATCGACAGGAAATATGTGATGCAGGAACTTTTCCAGAAATATGATGATGGTGAGACATGGGATGTGCCTCCTGTAAGTACAACCTAACACAATTAGGGAAATCTCTGTCACAACTAACACAATCAGGGAAGTCTCTGTCACACCTAGCGCAATGTTAAATATACACTTCATATGAATAGAAACTAAATTGAAAACTATGAAACTGATGCTGCTAAAAACACAGACTGAAAATTTAATGTCACACCGAATACAAATGATGAATATTCTCTTAGCACTCTTTTTATATTTTCAGTCTCAATCAGGCTTACTTTAAATTCTAAATAAAGTTATGATAAGAATAAACTTCATATTCGAAGATTCCATACTACTCTACTTTTATGTGAAACATGCCAGATGCATTTAGTTAACACAGTAGTGCAAATTCCTATTTTAAGGTAAATTGTTAATAAAGATATACCAGTAGGATAAAAAGGCAACAATCAGTGGATTTTCATGTGTTCAATGACAGCATTAAAATGTAAAAAAAAACAAAACAATACAGTAAATCTAAGTTTACTTACTTTTCCCAGGAACAAGATCCGTTCTATGAGAACCCAGAGGACCCAGTTCACATTGGTAGTGTGAAGGTGTGGCTGCAATCTCTGGCCTATCTGGTAGGTGGGGATGTAGAAAACTGGACTAGAGAGATTTTAGAGAGCTTTGTTTTTCGCTTGTTTGATTAATGCAATATTTTGAAATTCATATTGTTTTTTAAGTCCCCATCACTTGTATGTGCATATGGGCCTCTGTAAGGGAGAGGCCAAGATTAAGTTATTTTTATAGAAAACAAAGTCCAGGTATATTTATTTATTTATTTGTTGTTGTTTTTTGTTTGTTTGCTTTTAATTTATTTTAATTTTCAATGTAAAATCATTTTAATAACATTGTACATATTTTTCTGTAGATTGAGCTGAAGGAACAACTGGAAATTACTGATTTCAGAGGAAGACAGATGGGAATATTCAANACAGGCCTCTGTCTTATTGTAATTTACCCTGCAGCCTACCATGTTTAGCTAGCAAATGTTACTTTGCCACAAAGTCATGTTTTAAATACTCACTGATAAATTTTAATGTCAGGTAGCTGACAGCTTTGATCTTCAGCCAACATTAAGAGGTGCCCTTCAATGTTAATACTAACATGCTTTAGACCTGATGTGGTGGAAGAACAGTAAAAAGTCCTTACAACCTAAGAACAACACAGTTTCAATTGAATGAAGTTATAACATTATGATACTTACAGTTTCTGTAAGAATTACCATGGTTATTCATGGAAGATATATGCCCATGACCAATTAAAGTTATTTAATTAAAATAACAAAAAATCTCTGTTTCAATCACTATCTAGCTGGAAGTGGTTCCATGTAACAAGAAGGGTAAAGAGTACACAGAGGCAGATGATGTGTTTGTGGATGACCCTGAGGAACTGGTGGGAAAGGATCTTCACTTCATGGTGAAAGTCAACAGTGCCAGGGGCATCCCTGCCAGATACACTGTGAGTAGACAGTAATACAACTACTAGTACAGCAAAACATTTTAAGGTGGAGGAGGGGAGGGAGTTGTTTGCTGAAAAACAGACTTTTTTTACCCCCCACCCCCAAATTAGTTGACCCTGTTTGAGTTATGAAAAAAATCTAGATCAAATTTTTATTTCCCTGACCCACCATCTGTCTAAGACATGAATGCCAAGTATACATGTACATATATATATATGTATATATAGTGATACACTTATGTATATCTTCTGTTTAATTAATGAATCTATTAACTAAGTAATAATTCATCGATTAATTGATTGATTGATTGTCTGTTTCCAGGATCTGTATGCCAGGTTTATAGCGCCAGGACAGACTGATTTCACTGAGACTGCACAGATTTCTGGCACCAGCAACCCCAACTGGAACTTTAAGAAACAGTATGATCTGCCTGTGGTGAAACCAGAGGTAAGTTATATAAGGTTGTCTCCCCTTGGGGGATTGGGGGAAGGGACACATACCAGTGTATATGTATATATATATATATATATATATATATATATATATATATATATATATATATGGGACCACCAACACCATTTGGAATTTTAAATAGAAACCCTGGGGGCCACAATTTGTGTTCGTCCTGCTCCAAAATAATAATAAAAAAATAAATAAAATCAAATGATTTTTCCTTTTATAACCCCCAAATTTTTCAACTATTAGCTCATTCTCTGCTGTAATATATCTGTCAACAATTTTATTATATTGAGTTAAAAATGATTTTTTGTTCAATTTTTTTCCAATAATGATAAATTTGTCAATGTTGTATAAGGGGTCTAATTGCACTGTCCCAATATTTATTTCAGCATGTGAAGATGCTGAGAGACGGTGCTATGATGGTGCAGATATGGGGCGATCAGAAGTCAGGACAGGCCAAAAAATCAGTGAACACCAAGAAAGAGATGGAGAAACTGTCCATGGCAGCACAGCAGGTGCATCATGGGAATGCAAATGTCAAGGTAAGTATGATCTGTGAGAACAATAATTATAAATTATTATTAAATAAAGACTCGAGAAAGAAAATGAAAGTTATGTATTGTGGATCACAGTTTACCTTTTTTGCTCTTTTTTACCCATTAGATTAAAGAATCCTTCTTTAATCTGGATTACAAGCACCACAAATTAAGAAACACCCGACACTGTGACAATACTGCATGGTAGCATATGATTTAATATATAATTCATTTCACAGCTATATGCAATGTGGTAACTCATGAGATATGTTTATTGGTTATTTTGATTATTTTGTTCCCTTACTTTCATTTATATCTTCATTAATTTTTTTAGACTGTGGATGCTGGCAAAGTGAAATATATGATGCAGAGTGCATTACTCGAAAAGAGACAGAAGAAGTATGAAGAAAAAATGGTAAATATTTGATATTTTTTTCTATACACATTTCATGTGAAGATATTAGTAAGTGTTACTGATGACTTCATTGCAAATTATTACTGCCATTGTTAAAATTTATTTTGGCATAAGCATATTATAGTAAATATACAACTTTTATTTATAATCTGACCACCAAAATTAAAAATAAATAATATACGACATTTTTTCCAATTCCAGAGTCAGTTGCGTAAAATGGTAAAAGTCGCCAACAGCCATCACAAGGTCAGGGTTGAGACCAAGGTCATCAACGAAGTGCTGAATGCTTCCAGCTGGAAAGAAGCTGAAAAACAGATCAATAAAATCCCTAAAGACTCTGGAGGTAGGTATCATTTTAATATGCTAATTATATGTTTATTTTATATTGGATAATGTTTTCTTTTTCGTGGTGATCTTTCTTTATGGTTAATTTGCTATTATTATAATTATTAGGTATGTAATCACTGCCTTATACTGTGCTTGTACATGTAAATGCATGTGACTTGGTGTGAATATATTTTTCTCTATCCTTATATATAAGCAAACAGAGAAAATAACTTGAAATATGACTTTGGATGTCTGCTCATTTTAAATGTCTGTTTTTCATTTTGTATGATAACCTCAATGGATCTGGTAAACTTAATTAATCTTTTTTATAGGCACACAGTGTACAGTGTAGTGAGTGTAGGTGTATATGGTTTTTATACATGTGTTTTTAGAAAAAAAAAAAATGCCATTAATTGTATTTATATCATTTCCAGGCGATGAAATCCCAAAGTCTGGAGCCTGCACCATCCTATAATTGAAAGAATGAAATAATTTCTTCTCTACAACCCAGACTCTGGTACCTGTATCCATGTGTTTGATCTGAATACATCCAAACCATTTGATATATACATTGCCACCACTGGCACATATCAAACTGGGTCTTAGAATATACCTGGAATATATATACTATTTACTAAAGTTAGAAGCATAAAACCAGATTGTCTAGTTGCCAAGATGTTAGGAGTCAACGGACAATACTAAGTACTAGTCGCCCTTTTAAGGCCCAGTGTCCATCCATAGACGGAATATTTATGCATATCTTGATACCTGCTGTGCAGGTTTGATTATATGGATTCACTTTAATGAAAGAGGAGGGTAAAAACGGGGTAAAAACTGATTGTTTTAATGTGTGAATGTATTTTTTTTTCATTGGAGAGCAAAGCATAATTATAGGCAATATTGGGTACATTGATTACAACAGGGTGATAAGATAGAGTCGTTAATGATATGGTGATAGAAGCCCTGCTCATGCAAGCAAAATTTGAAAATTTTGCTCATTGAAATTATTGTTCTGTTCATAATTTTTTGTTGGATATTGTTAAAATGAAACTTTTTGGAAAAATCCATATTTATACTTTTCTCAGGCTATACATCCTTTTTTCATTTGCAATTGGTCTTTTATGCACCTTGTGTATAAATCTGGTTCTCTACAGCCTATGCATTTTTGCACATCACAGGGTAAATGTATCATTTATTTATCTATTTACATGATTTTATTTTTGTGGACACTTATATATGCATTTATGTTATAGGGTTGCCAACAAGATACATTTCCTGCATGGAATGCGTAAATGAAAAATCAATTCAGATTGTTTTCTTATGACACAATTATGTGTATAATGTGAGGACCAATAACTCTTTCTATATTGCAATTCATGATATTGTTAGATTTTTTTGTATATATTTGTAGATAAACGTACAGGAAGTGCACTTAGGTATTTAAAATGCAATTTTTGATATTTTAATTTATATTCTGGAACACTTTTTTTCATTTTATCTCTCCAGATACCCTTCACTTTGCATAAAAAGGAAATAATATATCACTGTATTGGGATGCAGTATATGTACATATTGAAGTGTATACATAGCAAACGCTCAATCCTTTATGTATTATATATACGCACAAGAGTTACATTTAAGCGCTTGGATTTTCTCTGTTGTTCATGTGACATTCCATGAAGTTTTTTGTTCTTTATTCATATATAGTTACAACTACATCTTTTACTGTATTTAATCGGATTTTTGTGATATGAACTTGGATGTCTTGGTAAAACGTGCAACTATTTTAAAGGTGTATCTGGATGCAATTAATTTAGATCCTTGCTGTCTTCCTAAAAAAGAGAAAATACGTATTTCTGTGTAGTATAGAGGACCTGCCACTAGAACTTTACCCCGGATTCGCCTTTGAAATTATTTAAGAACTTCAGAAACCCTATTCCAGATGCCAAATTCTGATTGCGCTCATGTATGGTTTATCTGGACATCGGCAAATGAATTATTGCGACCTTACTTATCTTTCTTAACACAAATATATGCTTTTGTGATTTAGAAAACAAAGGGGGTGCAGCATGGGTCTTTTCTTAAGCCTCTCCTTTACTTCAAGCTGTGTGTTAAAATCCATAGATTTACTTCAAGAGATTCACCAAGTGCAGAATATGGGAATTATTGAAGGTGAGCCACATGGGGTCCTGCATAAAATTAAATGCAATACTTGGCTCTCTCGGCTTAGTTAAAGATGAGCTGAGATTAGACTTAAGCAAGTTTAGTAAAATAATAGGAAATGAGACTCAGTATGCTTCATTCTGGTATATGTTGACCATGTTCGTATACATTAGGCCTATAATTTCCATTGAATGTCTTTGAAATGTTTGCTGCATGAGTTGCTATTTATCTCCTTCAAAACTTCATTACATATATTCCATAGCAGTAATTCATCATAGAATTGATGCCACGCTTAGCCCTGCTATTTGTAAATGGTTTTTAAGAAAAAGAAAATGCCACAAAATGTTCGCTTTGTCAGTTCGTGCTGGTTCGTTTAGCTTCAGATCTTCTCCCATAGATGATGACACATACAATGCAAAGGTAGCTTGTCAAAGAAGCTGTGATACTGTGTACATATACAAAGGTGTGACGCGTGGCTTGCTGTGCCCTTCTCATTTTTTATTGTATCGTTGCTGTAAAGAGCGGCTTTTGTCAGCCGATTTGTTATTGTAATTAAAAGTATAATAGTAATAAAAATCTTGCGCAAATCGAAACTAATCCACTTTACTGGTATACAAATATCTATGCCATTTTAACTGCATGAAATAATGATTGTTATTAGTGACCCATTTTAATAAGGAACATTTCACTTAACTGTATCTATCATTTTGTAATATCGAATCACAGTGTTTGAATCGATGATCTGAAGAGTCACTGGTGCCGTTGCTGCACACCAACATACACATAGAGGCCCCCTGTGTAAACAGCACTGCCACCGTAGACAAATGTGAAGCACAGGCAGTTTTCTTTTACAAATTTATAAGCGGATTTCAATTTGGAGAACGAGCGTGAATTCGTTACCCTGTGTATTTGTCCATTCAATTATTTCTATTTTCTGTGTTCGTGGAATTATCTGACTGTGTTCTCTAGAGAAAAGCAATACATTTAAGAAGAGTTTATATACAATTTAACTACATGTACCAATGGCTAATTTTAAAAAATAAACAATCAAACAATGCGTATGGTTTAAACGCAGTCATTACCCGCAATTGATGAACGAAAATACACAGTATCTTCATCATCATCTTCATCATAAGTTGTTTCAAAATATCCCAATACAGAATATATAGTGTGTCAATGAAATTTAAGAGATACGAATGTAGGTGTGCCCGTTCATAGCCGGAACCGTAATAGACTACGTAAACCTGGCCCATCAGTACAAATAGGGCGACCAAATCCCATTGGTATCATATGTCCATTTATTCAGGAATCAGCTTCTGTTTGGTAGCATCTTCAAATCGGTAGCTTTCAGTGTGTAAATGTTTTAAACCGGTAATGAAAGCATCTAAAAAGATTAGGGATAGGGGGAGGAAACTATTTACAGTATGTCAATAAAATAAGATAAAGTGATGGCTTTACCCCATTTTAAAATATTGTCCTAAAAGAAAACAGTAAAGAAAATTATGTGACATCAGCTGAAATCAAGCAGGTGGACAAAGGTCACCTGAGGTCAAATTTCATTAAAATAAACCAAAATAGTTTTTTATGTTGAGATGTAAGACAGGAATATCATATCCAATGGATTCCTTGATGCTTTGGCAGTTGATTTAACATTACGTTAGTTTTATGATCTATAGGCCTACAAATGCTGTAGAGGGTTCGGTATGATTGTGGATGGGGAAGGAAAATACCATTTATGCTGATTATTTCCAAAATATTGAATAAATAGCTTAAAGCAAATTATGCTGTTTTTGATTGCGCTTTCCTATTGTTTTATTTGTGATTTACTTTCTCATTTTTCGTTTCTATTGGGCTACTTGCGATTGGAACGTCTCATTCAAAAATAGGTCATTCAGACGTGTTTTGTATCTACAAAATATCAATTTAAGGTTTTTAATAGACTTTACAACAAAGCTTACTCTTTATTACGGTTATATTCATTATTGTTGGAGATTTTCAAAATAAATATGGTGGATAAACGTTTTCCAACAAGAAATGAGAGTGCGTAGGCTCCCTGGGAAAATATCCAGGAAACAATAGTTGGAGGAGGTGGTTCTGTACATGTTTGGGGTGCCATTTGCAACAGCGGTGACTTTTTTCTGATAGTCCAGCGATGTTACTGCATCATGCATTTTAAATACGAACCAGACCTTTGACACACAAAGTTGTATTAATGATATAATAACTGTTTGTGGATATAGAGGCGTTTGCAAAAACTAAAATGGGACTCCCAAATCCAATGAAGAATACTGTTATCGACAACATGCATTAACTCGTCAGTTGATACATCCCACATCCAGAATGTATTTCAAGTCCACCATGTGGTCTTCAACTTCTTCTCCCTTAAACCGAATGCTGTACTTGTCCTCTCCGACCTAAAAAGCATGCACTTAATTTAAAATAAGTATTTATGTAGCCAAATGTTCACAAGCACAACGAAGCTCTGTTTTTGCTCCAAATTAAGTAGGATAAGTCCATATGACTGAAATTGTCATTTATTAATGACGAAAACTAATAAGATACAAAGTTACAAAACTGGGGAGATAATAAACATCCCCCAAACTATATAAGTGCTAAATATAAAAATAATAAAGTATGTTAATGAAATGTAACCAGGATTAATTATGAAAAATATGAGAAATAACAACAGCTATAGGAGCAAAAAGTTGGCGCAAATGAAAATAAAAGGCTTATGAAAAATTGTAGTTTTTTTTTTCTTTCCCTACTTCATTAGTATAGCACTAATTAGGTCCAACTAAGAAAGATGCGATCTATACTGAAAAACACAGACACAAGAGCATGTTACTTAATTCATCACTATAACCTTTAAAGTATAAAAAATATAATTAAATGTCAGTGTTGTAAACAGTTTCATGATAAGGAAAAAGCTGTTTTTACATGCCGTTGTTTTAACGTGTATACACATCACGTAGGGACTAATGCACAGCCAAGCATTTGTCTTCATGTACGTCAGAGACACAAAAAGCGATTATTTCTACAAAGAGAAGCATTTAAAACTATCAACCGTACCTGCACGGGAACTTTAAGAACTTCTAAGAAAGCAATTCTATATCGCATTAATGCCGTACCTTTCCCTGAATATTTCCTTCGAAAAAACGCCACGCCAGTGGATGAAGGGCTACAACACTCTGAAGTAGAAATATTTTAAATGTGGTATTCTTTGCAATGAATTGGAAAATGTGTCCAATCTTAATATCAACGCTGCATGATAATTTATATACTAGGTTTATAATTCACAAATATGGGTTTCTGGACATCTCTACCCATGATAACTTTTCAGATTGTCGATCATTGTAATAAATAATTTGGTATAAACTTTTAATAAAAATACTTAAAAACCAATAGTATCAACTTCAGGCTCATATAAAGCTTTAAAAGTATTGGTACTTTCAGTTACTACGAATGCAAATACAGGGTTACCACTTAATATGGAATATTATTTTTTTGCTAATAACTTTTCTACAAAATATTTAATTTCTCTCTAACTACTTTAAATCCAAAGCTGAGGTGTCACTCCATGTGTAGCCAGATGTGTTACCTAATACCACACAACTCTCGAAACAATTGATGCATGCAGTTGTATATTCTGTGGTCAGAAATGTGAGGGGTGGTCTTTTCGGCAATTTCTGCCCTTGTATAAAAACGCATGGGTTTGGTAAATCTTTGGAGCGTGTTTAGAGAAGCAACAAAGGGATCGCTTTGAAACTTGACAGGTACCTTAGTGAAGATATGGTACGACAGCAAAGCAACGCAGCTTACTATGGGATGCTTGCTCTCAGAGAAAATGGCCAGAAACGGACAGCCATTGCCAGGTAATTCAACATTTATCAGGAACCGTTTGTGAAGTCCTCCAAAGAAATGCTGCTACAGGGGCACCTACTCCCATACCTCGACCAGGTTGTCCGCGTATCACACCAAGAAGTCAGGATCGCCTTCTCCTTAGTGGACGCCGTGCTGGTCGTACAAAGACAACCAGTGTCCTCAGAAAACAGAGGCAGAATGTCATTCAAACGCCCGTTTCAAGGTCCCACGTGAACAAGAGATTTCTGCAAGCCGGTTATTTTGCACGAAGGCCAGTAGGGAAACCACTGTTAACAGCAGGTCATATACAGCGACGTCTGCAAAGGGCTGGGGACCACGTGCGCTTGCAGCCAAAACACTGGAATCACGTTGTTTTCAGTGATAAGGCCAGATTTGGATTTTTTAGGGTTGATCGTCGAATCCGTGTCCACCGACGTGTACGAGGGGCATAAAACAATGATTGTGTACTGCCTAGGGTGCAAGCAGGGGGTGGTAACGTCTCTGTTTGGGGAGTATTTCATGTCGGTGCCCAGAACCAGTTGGTTTTTCTGGGAGGCAACCTCATCCAGGATTCCTCCAGAGACATTCTACAGCAAACAATGCTTCGATTGGTAAGATTCATCTTCAGGAACAACTTTGTGTACCAAGACGACTGCGCAACCCCACATCGAGGCCGCAGAATCACTGTTTTTCTTCAAAACCAATGGTTTCAGCAACTGCCCTGGCCTGCAAACTCTCCAGATATGAACCCAATTGAAAATCTGTGGGCGGAATTAACTCACAGAATCAATAGCTATGGTCCTCGGCCGGTAAATAGTGATGAACTGCGACAGGCAAATATCACTGCGAGGAATGATATCCCCACCCAAACTCTAAAAAACGTGTCACAGGATATGCCATGTAGGATGAGGGTGCTGCAAGCGGCTGCTGGAGGACATACCCGCAATTACTGACTTTTCATGATTTACTGTAGTGATTTCTTTGACTGTGTAACATATCACTGTCCGGAGGCTATCATTTTCTTTAATATCTTATCTTAAAGTTTATACTGACATCAAACTGTTGATATAGTTTTCTGGGGGTGTTCCTTTCTTTTGAATGGAATCTTATGTCAGATTTAATATTATTGACCAAAATATCTCACAACAGAAGACTGGATGTTATTATCACTCAGTGACATACTGTTTTAATGACTCAAGCCAAAAAAAAAAAAAAATAATCAGCACTCAAAAATAACAATGACAAAAAATATTCCATATTAAGTGGTAACCCTGTAGTTTTTTTTAACTTACCATACCAATCTTCAGTTCGCTGGGTGAAGTTGAATTCAAAGCCACCAGTTTGTTGACGCTAACTTTGAATAAACTGATAATGAAATATAGTAAAAAGTTAAAAAAAAAAACTCCCACCGTGGCAAATGAACATGTTATAAATCACCTTGATGAAGCAACCTTGTTTGTTCTCCTTGTGTTCGATAACTGGTTTTGTTTGACAAATATTGCCTTAACATTACACAATAAGTTTTATATAAGAAGCACTTGTCAATGATGGAATATGGTTTTGTGGGATTCTGGATGATCTAAAAGCTGTTTGTCCGTTTAACATCGTTCTTTAATGTAAATAAAGAAAAATAAGCGAACCACTCACACAATGCAGGTAATTACTGTATGAAAACGAACACGGGAGGTTACAGGAAAATAGCAATCATACCGGTCTCCTTTCCTCGGTAATTTTACTTCACAGTAAGACGGTTTTACTGCCCTTTCGAAAACAGCCAAGTCCATAGATATTTCAGCATCGTTACTAATATCCTTAACTGCTACTTCGTCCCCTTTCTAAAGAAAACCAAATCGAAAAATCATCATTACTATTTAACCGTTTGTATAGAAATCCATTTAAATACATTTTCGGATAAGTGCACGGAGTCAAATAGTACCAGTAGTCAATAATTCAGGAGAAAAAAATGACATGCTGTTCTTTCAATGTCGTTATTATGAAAAAAAAAAGAAAAAGGGATGGCAAACTATGTAGGAGGGATCGTTATCACCACGGTAGAGTGACGTATTGATTTTGCCACTGATGTCGATAATGTAAGCTTGTTATATATTGCTACTTAAGATTCCAACAAGACTAGTTTTTCAAAACATCGCGAATGAATTAAAATGTCAAGTTGATTGTTCTTTTAAAAGATACGAAATAGTTATTGTATGAATATACTACACCGACAGAGAGACAGAGAAAGAATATGAGACAAACCCGGAGAGAGTGCAGGACGTCAAGACCTGAAAAAGACATTGCATAAAATCCAATACGGGAGAAAAATTTACATTTCAGCACGCACTGACATTTGTTAATACAGCACCGTAAAATATCATGTTGCAAAGCAAGTTCTAAATGATATATTTATGTTTACGTTCTCAACCATTGCTGTAGCAAGTAAAACTACCATATTACTAGATACAACGAACTGGATGCGTTTCTGTGTTTACATTGATATCAATTGTACACATGGGCAGCTAGTGCTTGTATAGAGTTATCAAATTTGTTTCGGAACTAATGTTGTACGTGTTTATCGATGCAGTGTATGGTCGCCTTAATGTAAGAAGCAATGTTATTTTGCCATGCAATGAATCGTGAGAAATGATTCAGTGACGCTACCTATTTCTGCGACTGCTGCTGATTTCTTCCGGCCGCAGAATCTGCAGCTTACTGCGATTATGATTATTATAATGATAATGGCACCGAATGATATTCCAACGATCACTACTGGGTCCTTTAACGTATCCAATATACTGGCTGAAAAACAGCGGGAGAAATTGCCGTATACATATTTTTACTATGAATACATGCTTACTTTGGCTATTTCCGTTCAAAATTTATACCAACTAAATCGGCCACCCTTTCTGACACTGTGCCCGACATTGCAGTTCAACGGAATATTTCTTCATTAAAAACGTGTATTCCATATTTGTAAAAAAAAAAAAAAAAAAAAAAAAAAACTTACATCATAATTTTAATTTTATTTGCATTGCCTTGCAGAGAATCACAAAATGTAAAGATCCAGGCCGAAAGATAGATGGCTTGATTATAAGTGAATAAAAGAGCGGTTTAATATAGAGGTATCTCCATCTTTTTCCTTCTCAAATCATCTCATTATAGTATTCTAATCACCCAAATGTACAAATATTAGTCATCTTCTGAGAAAAATTAAGCAGATAGATGTAACTAGTAAATTGATTCATACCTGGACTCGACGAATGTGGTAGTTGTGCCGTAGTCGGGTGTGTTGCAGATTGCGATGGTTGTTCAGAAGATTGCAACGGCTCCACAGATGAACTCGGCGTGGTGTTCAACGTTTCCCTTGTATCTACTTCAGTACTTCTAGACACAGTTACAGTTGTTTCGTCAGGTTGGATGGTGGTTGGAACTGTAATAAGTAGGGATGATCTGCTTTAGTACTATGATAAAATTATGTAAAATTAAATAGTTGATATTTTTGCCGATGTCGATTTCATTTGTCTCTTTCTCACTAATGGTATTTCAACTGCCAGCTTTTGTACGCCTGGTCATTTTTGGCCAAGATACTGACTGTGTGTTGACGCTCTGGTCTACCTGTGGAGGATGCCAATTCTTATTACTGAATAAAATTCATGAAAAAATACAACCTACTTACCTACACCACGCAGAGTAAAATCCTTCTCAAATACCGCCGCGAGAGTAACGTGCTGAACCCGCATCCTACACGTGGTCGTTCTATTGGGTGCAGGTATGATGACAACGCTCGTTGTCGCGCACGTCTCATCACAAACCGAGCTGTCATTACTGACAAACTGTTTCTTTCCACAGTACCAGTGGACATCAGGCACAGGGTAGGCAAGGCCTAGAACGGCCCTCATGGTTCTGGTGTCCAGGTCCATGTCGTCGATCTCAGTGATTGAAATTCCATTAACGTCAAGTGGGGCTGTAATCAATATATGATTTTAGTTGGCAATTTGTAACTTATTGGTATCGTTTATTGGTTTATCTATTAAACAATTCTTAGTGTCCTTTATGTTTATTTGGTTTAAACCAAGTCCAATTAAGATACCTCGACATACGTGTACAATGTGTATATTGTTATAGAAGTATGAATGTGTACTTTTACGAATACCTGTTCACAGACAAGCAGGTGTTATGTAAACTATTGAATCAAAAAATGAAAGAATCCGTACGCATCAACAGACTGACAATTTCAACGATTCATGACATGCATAATGCATACACACGCAAACACAGACACAAACACACACACACAAGTACGTACACAAACACACGCACAAATACACATTCATATACCCGTACACGCGAGTGTTTTCATGTACTAGTACTAGTTGGCATTTGTGGCCTACTATAACGTTTTCACCTACCTGCGACTGTCAAAACTACTTGTGAAAAATTTTCGTTATTGTGTGTATCTCTCACGTAGCAGGAATAATTCCCAGTGTCTTCTTTTGTTACATTCTGCAGGGTTATCCACATTTTACCACTGTGTATCAAAGTTATGTTAGACTGAGAACGTCCATGGAAGGGACTGTTGGGTATCAGGGGTTCTCTAAATCGAAAATGATATTTGTAAACTAGGTTGTTGAAAATAGGAGTCCCTTTGTAAAGCTCAAGCGTAACATTATATGGCGTGGTGAATGCACATCGAAAGACTACGTCTTGGTTAAGTGGAGCCCATGTGTTATAATCTGTCCCGTGGAGTCCTGTTATCGATAAGTCAACTATAACTGCACCACAGTCTGAAAATAAATAAATAAAAATAAATAATAAAAATAACAAATTTTAATCTGACTGTAACCTCATGTTTGTCAAATAATACGTTCATCCATATTCCATATATCTAATATGTGTTAAAGTTAAAATTGCCACATACCTGCTACTGTCAGGATAAACGCGAACAAGAAATGGGTGTTTCTCCCAGCAGCCATACTTATATTAATTACACACGTGGATACACATAATTTTCATAAAATGTTAAATACGACAATCCATTCATTCCCATTTTACTTAATGTGTATTTGTAGAATGTACTCCATATTAAGGAGATAGGAAAGGAGAGTTATATATCTACAATTGTTGAAAGGGCCAATTTATACTACAGTACAAAACATAACGATGATATTCGTGCGTTACTACTTACAGCTGTGAGATAATACCAAAATGGATAGAATCTTATTGCTCTTGGTGGTATTTCTCTTGGTTTATTTACTAGCAGGTAAAGGTTGAATTGGTCATGCTGTGACTCCGAATGCTGAATGTTAATTGTGAAAAATCCATAGATAACTCAAAGGCTCGATCTCGTTGAAGATCTTACTGTTTATGTGTCTAAGTTATTGCTGTAACTTGTATGTATCGTTGTGATAACGGTGTGTTTAGAATATCATCATCTAAATTGAACAAAATTCCTTAAAAGTAAACAGTTCTTTAAAGAACCACGCTGCAGACACAAACACTAAAATTGTTAACATTTTCAGCGGATGTAGAGGTTGACTTCACGCTGACACCTAACCGAGTGAAAGAAAGTATGACTTTTAGTATGGAATGTAAATACCCTGAAAAAATACACAATATGATGGAATATGTCTTGTTCCAAAAGGATGAATTAACCGAGAAAAACTATATTGCACGACATGCAGAGGGATCGGAAGATGACTACGACGTCAGTATCAAAGGCCGAGCGACGATTGGTCACGGTGGGCGTGAGCTTACTATTGTAAACGCCTCTGTAGAAGATGTCGGGCTGTATGGTTGTCGGATATCTTATGTTCAAGAAATACAAAACCAAAATCAATTTTACCAAAATGCATCACAAAAAGTACTTCTGGATGTTGAAGGTAATGATGAAGTTTATTACTATAGTAAAGGAAAGCTCCACAGAGTTTGGCATAGTTTGTGTATTCCAGATAATATACAAATAATTTGTACATGCATAGTAAATACAGATGAACAGTTGGAAAAGGAACAGACGTATTAATTCGAAAGTTGGAAATACATACCACAGTCAAGGTGTTTTATTGTATACAGTTCTTCTCTATGCAATGTAAATCTTTTAGCCTTTTCATTTTAGTTGACATCGAAAGCCTTAGCATAGAAAACTGCAGCCATGGCTGCTCACGGAATTTTACAGTGGAAGAACAATTAAAGTTAACATGTACTGCCAAGAGATCCAGACCCGCGGCAACTATAAACTGGTTCAAGCATAAAAGAAACGAATATATTGACATCGGCGGAGACAGCATATCAAACGTAACAGCAGTTGATAATTATCTTTTCACTACCATCAGTCATTTAATTTTTAACGTTACCGAGCTGGACAATGGGTTCCGAATCATATGTCAGGCAAACAACACGGTGACTGGAGAGACTCGCAACTCATCTGAGGTTTACTTGAACATACTTTGTAAGTAGAGTCGAGACAATGAATTAACGATTTCTTTAAGTATGCTTTAAAACACTCTCACAGACATAAAATGTTAAATATGTATTAAATGTAAGTTTATTAAAAAATTGGCCAAGTTACGAATTATTTCGATCGTACTTACATTACACACTATATCGATGATTTGTGCAGTATCTATCACCTATTGTATAATGGTATTGTGTCAATGTTACAGTCCCTCCACCTGAATGGAGCAGTGTCCCCATACTTAGCAGGTACAACCAAGTGGCAGACACCATGTATGACGGAGACATTGAAAATCTCACATGCAGCGTAGCTGGTGGTAACCCGCTATCACAACTCACGTGGTCTGGATGTCCCAACGGAAGTCAGACTGCCTTGTCGTCCTCCACAGAGGCTGTGGTTCAGCTACAGTTTGTAGCCAGTGCCAGTCACCACGGCAGCGTGTGTACATGTACGGCATTTCAGAAATACGCGTCGCCACAAGAGAGGAGTTCCAATGTCACCCTGCTCATAGCCCGTGAGTTTGTTAATGACACTAATGACAATAGCAATAAAAACTTCGGTAAAAATTTCATGCTAAACTTTTGTCATAAATGCGTTATATTTATATTCATAGATTCATGGGTATATAAAAAAGTCAACGCAGAACGTTTTAAAATAACGTAACCATAACGTTTATATAACCGAAATACGTTATTGTAACGTTATGATATCGTTATAAAACGTTTTTTGTTTGCTGGGAATACATATTCATTGAGCGGCAGTAACCATTAAAACACTCATTGCGTATATGTTAAAGATCCACCAAACCTGGACATATGGGCCAGCCCACCGCTGCCCTGGCTTGCAACCGGAGACAACGCCACAATCAACGCCACACTGAACTGTACTGCTACTGGTGGATATCCACCGGCGACGCTGTCATGGATGTGCAAGGAGAACAGTACACAGAATGGAACAGAAGGTCCGTCTCTCATGTCCGTGGTCCCTATTGTTGGAGTGGACGATGACAAATTGGTATGTGTTTGCGAGGCGAGGAACAGTTACACGGCGGTGAAAGGAAGGGTGTTCAAGGCCATACAGTTAGACGTGGAATGTAAGTTGCACTTGTGAATAAGTTTGGCTTGGGACAAATCTACAAACATGGTACTGGCATGTGTTGTACGTCTTTATAAATACACTTTGCCTATATTTCTAGTAGGTACCGTCGTTGTTTGACAGGATATGTTTGATACTCATATGGTGATCAATGTCTGTAATGCTGCTAATTAATGTTGATTTGCTTCAGAACAATACATCCTCATTAAATATGCAAATATTTACCTCTCTGTGTAATTGGAAGGTAACTTCTATTCCCCTTTTCAGATCATCCACAACTAAAATTAACCGCCTTGCCGGGAAATATGGTCAACGAGCATGATAGTGTCCGTCTTATGTGCTCAGGCTACGGGAACCCTTCTAACATCACATACAGGTTGGGGCACGGCGAATGGAGCATGATTGGAAGTAACCAAACAATCCTGAACTTGAATAGAACAGATACCGGAAACTACTCATGTACTGGCGCTTCCAAATCTAGTCGATACGGGCAGCTGATCACTGTTCAGTACTTGCCAATAACAGTTAACTGTAAGTTTCATTTGAATTTCACAAATATTTTACACTATGTTAAAGACGTATTCATTATATACTAATATATTCATCATTGTACTATGAACCACGTAATGAAAACGCATTTAGAAATGAATGAATCTAGAATGTTCATCTATAACATGCGTCTGTAATTCTCTCTCTCTCGCTCTCTCTGCATGTGTGTGATTGTGTGTGGGTTTGTGTGTGTGAACACAATTATACCCTTATTTCTATGTTCTTTTAAACCAGATTTAGACGTCCAAATTGCGATACTAGAAACCAATTTGATGGAGGGGGACAATGTTACTCTGGAATGCCAGGCGGAGGGAGTGCCTTCATTGTACGATTTCAAAGATTGGACTTTTCAGTCGTACTTCATGAGCGACACACAGTTGCTTAACGGGACAAGGGGCAGAACTCTGCATCTGGAAAATATCAACTACATGGAATCTGGAACTTATACGTGTGTGGTTAATAACAGTGCTTTAGTTCGGCAAGGAAGCAAGCTGTTGCCCATTTTACGTAAGTGAATACGCATGTTAATTTCGAAGTTAGAATCGTGTTTTTTTTAAAACAAGAGAAGTAAATGCATAATCTAAAAACCGTAGGTCTTTAGTTTAACGGATGTACATACAGTACATCCCTTAAAGTATAGAATATAAATCATTTTGGCATTCTAAAGTAATGCACAGGCGGCCATAATAACATTGTATATATTGTCTTTTTTGAGTAGATTCCCCCAAACTTCACCCCTACCGGCAAGCTAGCCAACAAGTTGCGGCTCCCGTCAACGGTAACGTCACATTGTCCTTGTATATTGTGGCAAACCCCGAACCCAAACATGACGACTTTGTGTGGACGAAAGTCAAACCAGGCAACGCTTCAAGAAATGTGTCAGAGCTTGCTTCAAGTGACGGGTTGGTGTCAAATCTGACTATTGGGAATGTCAAGGAGAGTGACTATGGGGAATATTGCTGTGAGGTCGCCAATGGCATAGGTGAAAAACTGAAAGTTTGTTTTAACGTAAGCGCCCAAGGTAAGATAGGTTTGGGTTCTTATCATAAAACACTAGAGCTAATGTAAATGTATTACCCCATTTAAAATAAAGCAAAACATGTAGCGCATTCATTGATAACTTTTCAAATTTGAAAGAAATTCACATATGTGTGGTAAAATAAAATAATTAACTTAAATTTCAATAGCATTCGAGTTTGGATTGATTCCTTTGCAAACTACTATTTAGATAATAATGCAGTGTGTCCCAAGACAAATTGTCACATATTCGAACAAGCAAAATGTAAAATAGGCAATGTATGAAGGCTATTATTATTATTATTATTATTATTATTATTATTATTATTATTTAGGCCCACCATTGCGTCCAACAGGCTTACATGAGATTCCTGGACGTACCACAGCAATCTCGACCCAAGTTCAATGGGTTTCCGCTTTCAGTGGTGGCCTCACCCAAGTGTTCGTGGTAGAATACAAAGATGAAGCTAGTGAGATATGGGAAACTTCTGCCTCTGACATCAATGATACAGGCGAAGGAAAGAATGTATCCCACAAAATTGACAACCTGACACCTGCTACTGCCTACAGTGTACGAGTGAAAGCCAAAAATTCGTACAATGGTGGAAGTTCTAGTGTCAATTCTGATGTGATTACTATTGCAACGAAAGGTATTCTTTTCTATACTTCGTGTTGAATGAAAACCTCTTCTTATAGTGTGGAAAATGCTTCGATTATTAACATACATTTAAGCTCTAGCGATAATGGTAATGAGCGCTTTGCATATCCCTGAAGTAGTTTTCAAAATTCCAAACCAAATGCATGTTACAATAAACTGATAGTCATGGCTACGTTAGTATAAATCGCAACTCAATTAATGTGAGAGACAAACAGGCAGGCAACGTGAGAGCTTTGACGGGAATCCCTTGGCAGGCATCAAACAGTAATGAGTTGTATTATATGATATTCACATGTGTAATGGTCCATTAACACGTGTTTATTATTATTATTATTATTATTATTATTATTATTATTATTATTATTTTGTTGTTTAAGAAAAACCTGTATTTGAAGATGCATCATTGACAGTTGAGATTTCTGGTTCATCAGTGACACTGACATGGAAACTTCCTACAGGGGAATATTCTTCACTAGCTATAGAATTCTGTGTAGTTGGAGCAGACCCACAAGAATGCAGGGTCCACGAGGTCTCCGATAAAACGTCACTGTCGACGAAATTCTCCATAAACCCCTCATTTGACTACGAGTTTCGCTTACTCATATACCAAGGTGAAGATGTGGTGGTGGAATCTCAAAAGAGAACACAAAATAGTGAGTAGACATACATGTATATCATTTTATGCCAGCATAATATACAAAACCATCAAAGGTTTTAATGTGATGCTTTCCAAATATAAATCTTGAAAGGTATTCAGCGGAAACTGATCTCGATAGAAAGAGATACACACAAAATACATTTATGTGCTTTCACTCGATTTTGCTTATTTATTTCTTGCATATATAACTGACTGCTACAGGTTTTACAAGGGGTTTGAGAAGGCGAAACTGCGTTAAGTCAAGGATATTGGATCAGACGCTTTGTCTCTGTTTACATAGATAATGGCCGTTGATGTCTTTTAAGAGTAATGCACACTTTAAAATAAAACACGTTTATAAAATTCCAGCTGTACAGCCAACAGAGCATCCTGATCAAACGACCACTATCATCATCGCATTAAGTGTCGGAGCTGCGTTGGTAATGATTGCCATCATTGCAGGGGGGATTTATCTAAAAAGAAGACAGAAAGCAAGCGGTATGTTTTTTTTTTTTTTTTTTTTTTTTGGGGGGGGGGAACTAACATTAACAAACAATATACATTAAACAATTTATTAACAGGCTTACTGTTTTCCTCCGATGGCTATTCAAGATAAAGTTGCCCTTGAAAACCATCTAGCGTTTGGAGGTAAACAACAAGTTTAATAATCGCTGTCGATAAAAGAAAAAATTAGCGTTTTATTCCCACAAACAAATACAAAACACTAACGATGACATTATCTCCTACAGGCTCGGAAATTAAGATAAATATGCTCAGCTGTAACTAGTCCAAAAAAAAAAAAACACATTTACCATATATGTTCCATTTATGTTCTAATGAATTTTCAGATGCAAGGATGGAGTTAAGGGGACTTCGAAAGTAAGTGTCTGAATATTAAGTAATACTTAGATTTTTGTCAATTAACTTAATATAAAGTGACTAAATACAGTAGTTATCCTTGCATAAATGTATTTATCAAAAAAGAAAAAAAGTCACAGTATACTCCTTTTCAAGTTTGCAACAGCTTCTTCAACCAAGAAATCAGAAAAGAAAACTAATAGAAATAGAAATAAAGTTTTGAGGGTTACATTACTTTGATCCTTATAATACTGCAGCTTATTGAAAAGTCTGTATATGAGAAACGCCAATGTATTTAATTCTACTACGTGTAAACAATGGACGAGACATTATTTTCTACGTTATAGTTCCCTGGTTGCTGATACCAGGCATGTAGGGTCAAATGGAGTGTCCAACCCAGCCCTAGAAACCTCAAACGAAAGTCACTTCAGCAGAGGACCCGATTCTGACGTCACTGAGTAGAGTACAGTAAAGGTAAAAAAATTACGTCATGTCTACTTTGACAGCAATGGTTCATATATGATCAACTAGTGGGGTGTGTTAATTTTTTTCATTTTTTTCCACAGAATTGCCTCTGTTAATTGCCTTTGCATTCAACACATGGACTAGTATTACGCGGATGCATCCAAGACTGGAAATATATTATCGTGTCAGCTACATGAAGACATAGCCGGTTGTTTCCATGGTGCGTGTATCAAATGTTCACACCTGAAGAGTGTACAGATGTTACATTTACACGACCTTAGCTGACCCAAAGGTCGTATTCTGTGCGATAAGGTGTCTAATACTGTACCGTCGTCAAACTTACCAGCTGTTTGACATGGCCTTTTAAGATCAAATTGATTTGTAGAGTATATTAAAGAGGGTAAACATTAAGTGACGTGTTCATGTATAAGGCCTTTAATTCACCGATACTGGCCAGTGCATCGCACAGCACAATAGGTACTGCATTTTGCATGAATTTGCCCACTTGAACATCGCTTGAAACATTTTCCATGTGAGTGTATCCATAAAAAAGTAAAGGCTGCTGAGTTTCACAGTTTTCTCCAACACAGTTCCTTTACTTATTTTAATCTATGAAGACTAACCATATATTTTATACATGTATATTTTTTCGCTGTATATCATGGTTACGCCTTGATGTATTTTACAACTCAAAATTAGGCTATTTCCAAAACTTGTCAACAACCGTTGAGTGCATTCTGCTTGAATTAGAGCATCAGTTTATTTAAGCAGATCTAATTAAATATGAATATAGATAAACCAAACACAAACAATCAGTTTTATATCTTTATCACTCCTTAAGTGTGACAGGGATTCCGACATATCTTATCAATTAAGTAAGTGCTGCTAAACACATTTGACAGGAGAGATCTAAAGATATACGTGTAGAAAGGTGGACATCATCATATAAATATACGTCTTTTTGCAGGGCGGATTCAGGATTATTTGAAACCAACATTTACACCTCCCCACCACTCTTGGCGTGGGGTTCGGGGCCTGAAGGCCCCAAGTTGTTTTTTGGTATTTTAGAGGGCAAGCGGTGCTATTTCGTTGATTCAACTTATCAAAATTCTAATTTCAAGAGGGGACTATTGGTGTGATTTTTTTTCAGAAATCGAAAGGGGGTCGGGACTCCCCTGACACCCCCCTAAATCCGCCACTGTTTTTGTTCACCCCTATGGTAAGCAGAATGAACGTTGCAATTTCTTCCTGTTGAGGTTTTACTTCGCACTTGCTCGTGCACACCATCAGATCATCCTGCACATTTCTTGATCACATGAAATGTACCGGTATCATTATGTAGTGTTTATTAAATATTACTGTACCATGTATAACTGTGCTATAGGTCTCTATTGCCCATTAACATTAACAACATGTGGAATATTTCGATCGTAAAGTGTCTTTTCTTCATGCTGTTAAACGTGTCGATTAATCATTCAATACACACATAGTGACTGGTTGTCGGTATATCTATCTGCATTAATTTCTGACTGCATTATTTCTTTCTTGTTTCGTCGTGCCTTTTAAGTTTAAACTTGAATATTAAAATCACAATGACAACCTTTTTAACTTTGTGTTACGCAGGCAGTCGGTCCAGACGGCGCGGTCTAAGCTGACCTCACGTTTTCAAGACTCACCTCGACCAGGGGCAAACAAGACGACATCATCCGGACCAATGACGCCGTTAGATACGGAACGATTGACTTTAACAAGTAAGACCCGCCGGTCTCCGACTAAAGTTTCCGTTTCAAGTAAGGAAAATGTAGATAAAAAGCAAAAATTGTTAAAGGCGGATAATGAAAAAAAAAAAAAGAAATGTTGGAACTTCTTGTCGGTTAGTAAACGTATAATATAAAAGGAGTTTTACTTTTATCCAATTTACATTTAGTTGTTGCATCATGAATGTGTTAATTATTTATCACTGCAGCTGTGTGACCCTTACGTATATACCTACTTGTTTTTAGTGTAGCGAAATGTGGCATTTAAAACGCTTTCTTCGCGGATAATATTAGTATATTGTCTATTTTTTTATGTTAGTATATGTTGTTTTACTTCACCTATTTTAAATTTCTCGGCTGAGCTTGTGTATGCATATTATTTAAACAGACGCTTCTTATTATTAATGAGCGCAAAATGTTACAGCTGAACTTAAGGTATACTATCTTTTTAATGGTAATTTTGTATACATAATCCATGCTTGTATAATAGAATATATACTTTATAGTTACACTTGACTTTTTTAACGTTATACAACCTTCTGTTTTTGAGACGATAAAATGTATATGAATTTCTATCTGATTATCAGAGGCAAGTTGCAAACATTTTTACCGTCGATACCAGTACGATTTTCATCCTGTGTGCATATTCTCTATAGGAAATCTATAGATATTAATGCAGATTCCCAATACTCAATCAAAGCAATTAATAGATTACCGGTATATATCATTTTGTCAATTTATATGACATTATTGATTAAAGTACAGATACAGATAAACCCATTGTCTCTAAAGAAAATTCACAAACAGAATTTTATAGTCTTTTTTTCGCAGCGGTGTTAATGTTAATTAAAATGACTTGTAAAAATATTGTTTAATAGAAAGTTATAGAATTGGGGAAATATGATTTGGTTATCTACATTAATGAGATGAGAAGCCTTGCTTAGTTATACTGCAGCACAGTCCCATATGGAAGTTTGTGGTCATTGAAACGAGAGAATGAAAAACTTGAAGGCGCTAACATTTGTGTGGGTTGTGCATTTACACTCAAATCTTCTGTATTTTACTGACACGAATAAAGTGTATTTACAAGTTTAATACAGAATAAGACATATTATATCTTCCTCCAACTGTCTGGATGTGTAATACATGTACGTGACACTATCATTCATCTTCCTCTTTCATCCCTTGCTCGTCTCTCTCTCTCTCTCTCAAGCACACATACAGGTATATATAAACACACACGTTCATAATATTTCTCTTATCTTCCATATTTACTCAACCATATGTATCATAGAAGTGACTCAAAGCAAGTAAGTTCCTTATAAAGCGCAACTATTTCTTGAGCTAAGGTTATCGTATGTCTTATCACATAACACCAAACCTCTCTTTCCCACGACACTGCTCACTGCAGGCTTAACTAAAGGGCTTCATATCATTTAGCTTGCAGATAGACAGAATAAAGAAACGAAGACACCATATGTCTACAGGGGAGAAAATGATTGGCTTTGAATACTGGGTTTTAATCGCTCACTATTGTATTGTCTTTTTAATAATAATAATGATAATAATAATAATAATAGTAAAAATAATACATTTATTCATTTGGAGTCTAAAATCCATATGTATATTCTACAAACAAAATACAATACAAACAGAATACAAAATTATTTCTTTCTCCTAACGAAAAAAGTGAATTAATATAACCTGTACATATGCGCGAAATACGAGCTACGATTCTCTCTTCACAGCCTCAATCCAAATGGACCTACACGCTAGCATTGTGTTAGGTGAGATAGCTGTCACAATGACACCTAGATAGCTGTCGCAATGAGTTGTCTGTATTCTTAGTGTCAGGGTGTTTACTACCCTGTACAGCTCTAACCTACAAATATATACTAGTATATATAACCTACACTAAAAATCCAAGACAATGACTTCATAAAAACTATCAAGTTTAGTCTAAAAAAAATAGAATGACATGCACTGATATCACTCAACATGAAAACGCACATGATACCCGATCTCAGAATACGCAACCTCGAAAATGCTATTGGCACATTTGGTGATACACTGAACATCTGGTGCATTTTATGTACACAGATATTAGATGGGGTATGTTCTTATTTCATGTGCACATTCAGTATTTATAATGAATATTGAATATAATGAATATTTATATTTATTATAATGGTGTATCAATAGGATTTTATGTACAATAGTGTCAAATTTTCATGCAAGATTTTACAATAGGATTATATACACTTTTTGTAAAAAAAAATTCTACCTATAGTTATTGGCAATAAAATTGCAATCTTAATGAAAGTGGACAGATTCTACATATTCGAAGTTTTACCGATTTTCATCTAGCAAAGGAAGTCTGCTGGTATTTATTATGTCGGGATGTCATGGGAAAAAGAAAACGATATTCACACGCTTGAATAATGTTCACTACCGCTTTCGATATTTCTTGTCAGGACTCATCGCAAGGCATTATGGGGCTGTAGGTCTGTGTAGATTGGTGTTTGATTTGCTTGATGATCAGGAACTTCATAGATACTGCTTTCCGTGGCCGGGGGCCTCTGAAAAATTATGGTTGATTGCTAAAAGCACGGAAATAATAATAATAATAATTTATTCGAGCATTAAATGTGGCAGTTACATTTGTTAGCCCTCTATACTACAAATATATAAATAAATAAATAGTTATACATCACTATGGATTACTACTAATACTAATACAGTGTTTAAGATTATTAATTACAGTGTATACGTTGTTTAAAATACTTATTACAATTGTAAATAGTTCAATACACTGAGGGAACACACATTTTCTTTGATAGGCTAATAGCTATATGTATCTAATGTGCCATACTTATGGTTCATATAATACAGACTTGACATTTAATATGGAATATTTTTTTCCAAATTATTTTTCATCATTTTTTTCCTATTTTGCTGACTGATAAATGAAAATAGGGATTAAAATCATGTTTTAATAACTTTTATGTATCTCTTTGATGTCATTGTGACATCAGTTCATTAATTGAATTCGCCAGTGAAGCAAACAAAAATGCATTGCCTATTTTAAGTCGTACGACAACCATTGAAAGCGATATTTTGGATCTCCATATTTTCCAAATTATCGTCTTTAAAAGAGTTACACGCCCCACAAAGGACCCTCATGACAGTGTCTTGCCACAGCAACGGTCGCTGTTACACTTGACCTCATCTGGCTGCTACCAGAGCTTTCAAGCGGCAAGGCATTCCTTAGGATAGGTTTTTAGAGTTTAATCTGGAAAAAAAAGTCCAGGCAACGGTCAAAACATGTCCAATTTGGTTCAGAATTGTTGTAGGACATGCAGGCCGTTGATTCGGCGAGTAATAACCTACCCACGTATTGTCTATGTGGTTCAAATATGGCGATTTTGATGACCAATGTATCTGCTAAATCCCTTGGTTCTGTAAGTTATCTGCTATTAAAAGTGCTCTGTGTGAACGGGTAATCTCATCGTGCAACCTAAAATTGTTCCTAAGGTGCCCCCTATCAAATGATAGTCAAATGGTTCCTAGGTTATTCATTTATTTCATCTGGTTTAGGTTTTCATCAATGACTACCATTGGTGTTTTGGCACCAATGGAGTATCCACTCCAAATACTGACGATGCCAATGACCATAGTCACTTTAGAAGCGGCACACGCCTTGTCGTAGGCCACTTCAGGATGTCTGTAAACTCTGTTTTGACCAGTTAAGCGGTACAGGTGAAATCTGACCTCAATAAAGAAAGCCACGCGGTTTCAGTGTTCTACCCAGAAACGGTCATGGTCCTCAGTTCATTAGAGAAACTGACGACGCTGCTTTGCTGTTTACAGTGGCTTCCTCAGAGGTCGTTTGGTATTCTAACCTGCTAAAACCAGTTTGGTATTCGCTAAGAGCCTTGAAAAATGCGTTTTGGTCACAATTTGCCCCTCATTCTGAACGGACTGGGTGGCTTTTGTTTAGTTGCAGCAGCATATCCTGAAGGACAGTGAGTCCTGTGCCCTGGTGGTAAAATGTCAATACATTGGGCGTGGTCTCTGTGTAGGTACAGCAGTCTGGGCATAACTCCATAGAACTGTGCAGACCATTCCGTTTGCCACAATAATCTGTCTTGCAATCTCTGTCTTTTTCGCGCCATTCTGGCACAGATTAACAACTTTGTAAAACATTGTTGAACTCATTTTACGCACTGCAAAACCGACCGCTTGCATGCAAAATTTCAAATTCTTCTATGCAGTAGTTGCCGACATATGGATACTTTTTTGACGGAACCATGCATCTCCAAAGCCCAGCTTAGACCAGGCCAAAGGAGCACTACCCAATTAAATCACTGCATATTACACAATGCAGCAGTGCAACAGACTTGGTAGTCAGTTAATTGGCAGCGACACACCTAACTTCACACTTCTCCAGTCAGATGTCTTATATGAGATCTGAGTTTTATGAAAAAAGAACGCATTTTTACCTAAGCATACCGTTGAAACTGAAATATTCCATATTAAATGTCAAGTCTGTATATAGCAGGATGAGGCTACTTCAGTGTGGCAGATGCTCATTTCTTTTGGAAATTGCCCTATGAATGTATTTACCAACAGCGTACAATTCTTTCTCATTTTCTGGGCTTAGTATGATTTTAACCTTCTCGTCACTGCTTGCTAGGTGATGCATGTCACATTTAGGGAATTGTTTTAACGTGCCCTCCCTCTCTTTTACATGGTGTCTACATTCTAGTAGGAAGTGCACTTCGTCCTCGATTGCAGGACAGTGGGGACAGAATCGTTCCTCGCGTGGTGTTTTAGGTCTGGTGTAGCGTCCTCTTTCCATTTCCAGAATATGATCACTGACTCTAATTTTAGCCACTTCCCTTTTTAATGACTGAGGGGCATTAGTTAGCAGGTACTTTTCAATTTTGTAGGACTTTTTTATCAGACTATAAGTTTTTAACTTGGTGCTTTGAGGATCAGTTAACTCTTCCCAGAACATTTTTTCAATTTTAGCATTGATTTTTTCCTCAATATTGCAATGTGTTTGGATTTGCTGAACCCCTGGGACATTTTCACTGTGAAGATTCCAAGTTGTTAACATAGTATTAATCGCTCCTGGCCAACCTTTTTCCCCTATTGTCAGTTCTGCATCATGGGTGAGTTTAACTATTCTGTTATTTGGTAGATTTCCAAATCTTTGGCAGTATCGTTGTACCTGTTTAACAATGTTAGAATATAAAGGATAACGACCGAGCTCTGCGCGACTGGCATTGTTGCTGGCGTGTTTACTCAAACCCAGTGCCCATTTGCACATTCTCAAATGTGCTTGCTCAAAAGGCATTTGGTTAATTTTGTTCAGGGTCATTTTCTTTTCTTTGAATATTTCTTGGGCCCAAACTTCACAGCCATAGAGGAGTATTGGCCTTACCACTTTGTCAAACAGTTTTAAATATAGGAGAGGTGGAAATGGATAGCCATTAACCTTAAGAAAAATGAACAGCTTGTGGCATATTTGCAGCAGATACTCAAGGAAGAAAATATAATCACAAACATATGTTAAAGAACGAAAACACGTTCGGTGTTATGAAATCACCAATGTCTACAACAGTCTGACAGCCATACCAACATCTAAACACTGGCATTGACTGTAGAAACGCAGTCTTACAACGGAGACACACAACACAATCTTGTTTTCAAACACTACAGCTCACATTCCACTCACCCCTCGGGGTTGCGAGTTTAGGTTCTTCATCTCAGTTATCCCACCTGTTGCTGCTGTCTCTCGGTTAGGTACATCTAAATGGTTTGTAATAAATTAGAAGTGTCAAAATGTATTTTACGTGATGAATATTTTCATGAATTCTTACACAACTTCCATTCTAGTTATGTGATAAGACGCTTTTTTCAATGTTTTCTGAACTGAGACATCTTGCAGTACAATATATTCTCAAGCTGTCGCTTGTTCTTTAACTAAAATATTCTATTTATACAGAATTGACAAAAGAAAATAAAACTAACGTCTTCCACTTTTCGACTTTCTGAAGCGACGAGTAACAATTGCAGTTATCACGGCCAATATGAGCAAAACGAGTACAGCAACCACAGTGCCAACTATCACGCCCGCTTGCTGTTGGACTGGAGATGGGTCTGCATACAAGATGCAAGTGTTTTGGTAAATAACAGTTATTGAATACAACCGTAATTGTCTTTTAATAATTGTTTTTCACATGTAGATATAAGTTTTTTTTCAACAGAAAAATACAGGGTTATGTTTTTATGTGTGAGTCGAAAATGAAATTGTCAACTTGTTAAATAAATAAAACTTGTTAAATAAATATATTTGAAACTGAATATTTTACCTGTAATGCAATGCGTGTCTGTTCTTACCTAAATAATTATAATGTACAGTGACATTTTCATTTTGATTTCTTTCATTTTACTATATAAATTATAGCAACCGTTTAAAAGAAGCACAACGTACTCCTATTTATAGTCACTTCATAATTGGCATTACTTACAAATTATATCCACATTCACAGAGGCCACTGCAGGAGTCGATCCAGAAGCACTATTACTGGCCTTACAGGTGACAGTCTTTGAACCCTGGGTCTTTTGAAACATGTACTTCAGGGTACTTGTAGTTGTAATAAGCTGCGTGGTGACGTCCCTTGCTGAATTAATGTGTGTAACACCAGATGTCACTGCTGTGCCATCTATCTCCCAGGTAACAGTTGCTGCTGGATACGCCTTGGTCTCACACATAAACGTGGTGTCCTGCTGGGCTCTCACCTCGAGGTCTGCTGTGGCATTGAGGAGACGAGTTCCTCGTGGAGCAGCTAGCATTGACAGGGTTAAAAACTGAAATCACGACCTTTCGTATGGTGCAAAATAATTTGAAAGCATGTGACATACGTGGCAGGATATCAGGATTTCTTTAAAAATATAAAATTACGTATTGCTTTTCGGGCTAACATATGATGGCATTTGAAAGACAAATATATATATAATTCTTGACATTCTGCCTCTTTTTGTACCTTGCTGATGTATTTCTTATTGAAGAACAGAATGCAAAGCTAGGATGTTACGTTTATGGACTGTAAACGAAAAACACTTTGCGGATACCATGTACATATTTAAGAATGTCAGCTACTTGTACGTACTATTGTGAGTACCGGCTATACAGGCGAAATTAATTATAGGAAAACCATTCAGGCATTTTTTTCTGGATGACTGATAACTTTAATGACACAAGACGCCTACCAATCACTGACACAATGACCCAGTCACTGCTCATGCCACTGTGGCCACATGCATATCCCCCACCATCCGAGAACTGCACATTGGATATAACGAGTGTAAAGTTGTGGTTGGTCTGATCACATGGGTTAACACTGTACTTAGCTGCATCAACAGATATACAACCTTCTGTGAGTAGGGAAGGATTATTATTCGCCCCCCTCACCCACTGCGTGTACCATCCAGTAGTCACTGTATTCACTTTACACCACATGGAAACTGATGTTCCTACTGAAGCAATGACAGCTGTGGAAGGCCCAACATCTATATTAGCACCTGTGCAAATGAAGTCAATATGATGTTTCAGAAAACTTTCGTACAGTGCAATATATGTGCCTTTCATTCACTGATAACATGTACCTGTATAACTATGACCGTCTCTCATCATATTCGGCATTAATTTACACCATTAACATTTTGCTGTGCGTCCTAACATTGAAGGAGTTGTTGTCAGATATAATAATTGTACATGGGCCAATTAGCTATTAATTATTATGACATTTGAAAACAACTTACTTGAAGTAATTAAGTAAGACTGGGGAAATTCAAGTAATTATTTTGGTTCATTTGGAAATCTTTAAACATCAATAAAGTTATATTCCCACCGCCATACACAGATTTAAATCGATAAAGAAGAAAACTGCGAGAAACTGTGTTAGCAGTTGTGTTATTTCAATACCTAAAATAATAATTAGTAAACACTATACCTGTCACAATGTGTAAGGGAATATATGCGATTCCTACAACGACTAGAAGTAGTACTTCTTTCAAAGCCATATTGCTTGTCGCAAACGTATTACTGAAACGACAATAGCAACATCAGCTGAGCACACGCACATCTCCCTCACTCGTTTAGATTCACACAGCCGGTATTAATTTCATTTCATCGTATTTTCCGGTCTTCTTTCTTTCTGTCTTTATTTCATACATTCAGAAAGTGATCCAATCGACAAATAGCGACACTTAATATATTCAAATGCACCCCGTCACACACACATACACACACACACACACATACACACACACACACACATACACACACATACACACACACACATACACACACACATACACACACATACACACATAAACACACATACACACACACACACACATACAAACATACACACACACACACACACACACACACACACACATACACACACACACACATACACACACACATACACACACACACGCAGAGAGAGAGAGAGAGAGAGAGAGAAAGTGT